TGTTTCTTCTCTCCTGTTTCTTTCAGTTCTTCTCCTTTCTCCAATTTTCCTTTGGATTTTATAAAACCACCGGCCTTTCCTTTCTTCCTCCCATAATTTTTGCCACTTTTCTTTCATTTTTTGTTTTATTATACCCTTTATTTCTGTTATACTAAACCCAACATTAATATCAACCACGTCCCGACCAGTGCTCTCCTTAGCCATCCTGTCTGCCTTTTCATTCCCCAAAACCCTGTGATGTGCTGGAACCCATATAAAGTTTACTGTAATCCCCATCATGTTGATCCTATAGAGTGTTTGTTGTATTTCAATTAATATATCTGGTCTACTATCTGACTGGTTGTGTTGCAAGCTGGACAATGATGAACTAGAATCTGAGCAGATGATTGATTTTAATGGTCTTACTTCTTCTACCCACTGAACTGCTGAAAGTAAAGCGAAAAGAGTTGATGAGAAAATCAAGCTAAAATTATATGGTCAAGAGTTGGAAAGAGTTAAAGAATTTAAATTTCTCGGGTTGTGGTTTGATGAAAGAATGACATGGAGTATACACATTAAGAAAATAATAGATAAATGTAGGAAAGTGTTAAATATAATGAGGTGTTTAGCTGGAACTGAGTGGGGAGTTGATAGAAATTCATTGACAGCCATTTATACTGGATTAATTAGATCAGTCTTGGACTATGGGTGCATATGTTACAACTCAGCAGCAGATACAAACCTCAATAAGTTAAATAATATCCAATACCAGGCACTAAGAATATGTACAGGTGCTTTTAAAACGTCTTCAACAGCAGCATTACAGGTTGAAATGGGAGAAATGCCTCTTAAATTTAGAAGGGAACAGCTATCTTTGAACTACTGGACAAATTTATAAGGACAAAGAAATGATCATCCAACATTAGAGGTGCTTAAATCAGGTTGGGAAAAAGAAAAAATCAAAAGCTTTGGGTGGATGATAAAAGCCAAAGTTAATGAAATCCATTTAGATCAACTAGATATATGTCAGAAAGTTCCATTATCAACAACACCACCTTGGATACTCCCTGATGCTATAGTAGATTTTTCATTATTAGAAAAGAAAAACAAGAATAAATCTTTTATTATGGATAAATATACAGTACAGGAATACATTAACCAGTATTATAATTATGTACATATATACACAGACAAAGTTTTTTACATGGATTATAAAAATTTATTATTTTAAATTGTCCATTTATTGTCCAGATTTCAATAACAATATATTCTAACTCTCTTCCTTTAGCTAAAACTCTAAATTGAATCCCCTGTTTAATGAATGTTATACATCCACCTCCAGATCCTCCCTCTCTGTCTCTTCTAATGTTTTCATATCCCTTTATAACAAAATCAAGGTTTGGTTTAAGCCAAGTTTCCTGAATGCATATAATATCTATATCTTCTTTGAATTCTTTGATAAATCCTTTAAACTCCTGCCCATTTGATATTAGACTTCTAGCGTTCCACTGTAAGATGATCAGTTTGTTCTGTCTTCTGGTCCTCCTGTCTTCCCTTCTGCTCCCAGTCTCTTATTTATGTGCTCCCAGGATATATCCTTTATACCAAAAAACCTCTCTGCCCCTTTCACAATTATTTTGATTTTTTCTGTTTTGTGTTTTACTTGCTCTGTACAATTAATAACATATGCAATGAACAACATGATCTTTTCTACTGTCAGTTCTGTGTCAGGTCCAGTCTGCCTTTGTTCTGGTGTTGGTTTTGGCTGAACTTTACCTGGCACCTCTTTTGGCTTCTTCACTCTCTGAACAGCTTCTGCATAACTTATATTATTATTGACTTTGACTTGTTCGATTTCCACTGCTCTTTTCCTGATTTCACAGCCTCCATAAGTGACTCTGTGTTGTCCTCCACAGTTACAACAAGTATCCTTTCCATTTTTACACTCCTCATATCTATGTTCCCCTCCACACTTTGGACATCTTTGTTTCCCCCTACATGCTGCTGCGATATGTCCGTATACCTCTGGCATTTATAACACCTGAGAGGAGGAGGGATGTACGGCCTAACAGGGAAGCACATACATCCTACTTTGATCCTTTCAGGGAGAACAGCTGCTTGAAACTCCAACATCACTGACAGACTTTCCTTTCTTTCACCTTCAACAGTTCTCATCAATCTTCTAATTTTGCTGACTTCACCTCCATAAATGCTGTGTCTAAATTTCTCCAGATCTTCTCCCACCGGAATACCTGTTATCACTCCTCTAGCTACCTTAGTCTCTCCCAAAATCTTGATCTCACTCACTACTTTTTTACAGATACTCTGAGTTTTCATTACTTTGTTTTTCTGCTCTTCGTTTCTCACTGTTAACAACAGGTTCCCGTCTCTAAGAGTTTTAGCAAGTGTCAGCTCTCCAAACTTCTTCTTTAATTCTTTTGACAGCACTAACGGACTTAATTGAATTCCTTCATCCTCCTTTCTCCGTATTCTGTACCACAGACTGTACCCAGGGGAGGCCACACCTAGTCTGTATGGTTTACCTAAAATCCACAAACAAGGTGTACCTTAAAGACCTATTGTTAGCATGATTAACTCTGTCACTTACAATGTTTCCAAATATCTGGCGTCTATACTCATCCCTTTAGTTGGCAGCTCAGAACACCACATACAGAACACCATGGACTTTGTGGATAAGGTGAGGGATGTCATCATGGAGACTGATGAAACAATGGTCTCTTTTGATGTCACATCACTTTTTACGTGCATTCCTGTTGATGATGCAGTAGAGGTGGTCAGTTTAAGATTAAAATCAGACACCACTCTGAGCAGCAGGACCACGCTTTCCACAGAACAACTGTGTCAACTCTTGAAACTGTGCCTGCAGTCAACCTACTTCACATATGGGGAGCAATATTATAGGCAGAAACATGGGTGTGCTATGGGGTCTCCAGTTTCTCCTATTGTTGCCAACCTGTACATGGAGGAGGTAGAAAAGAGAGCCTTGACGTCCTTTTCAGGGACACCACCAAGTCATTTGTTCAGGTATGTTGACGACACCTGGGTTAAAATCAAATCTCAGGAAGTCCAACATTTTACTGACCACATCAACTCTGTGGATAAATACATAAAGTTCACACGAGAAGATGTAAAAAATGGCAGGGTGGCTTTCTTGGACTGTGAGGTCTCAGTCTCTGATAGAGGACATTTGCAAACCGAGGTGTACCGCAAACCCACACAGACCAGTATTTGCAGTTTACTCCCATCACCCTTTGGAGCACAAGTTAGGAGTCATCAGGACTCTGTATCACAGAGCAGACAGCGTCCCCACTAACTCAGGAGCCAGGCAGAAGGAGAAATCCTACACAAGACAGGCTCTAGTGCAATGTGGATATCATAACTGGGCCTTCCTGAAAGCAGAGAAGAAACCCAAACAGGACTCCAGTCAGCCATCGGGTGAAAAGGAGGAACCCAGACCAGTGGTCATTCCGTATGTTGAGGGAGTATCAGAGAAACTGAGACGTTTATTTTCTAAACATAACGTCCCAGTGGCTTTTAAACCCCAAAATACATTACGGCAAAGACTGGTTCATCCCAAAGATCCAGTCCCCCGGCACAAACAGAGTAATATTGTGTATGCTGTTCAGTGTCAGGAGGGCTGTGATCAGTCTTACATCGGGGAAACTAAATAGCCACTGGCCAAAAGGATGGCCCAGCACAGAAGATCAATATCATCAGGCCAGGACTCTGCGGTCTACACTCATCTCCAGGCCAGCGGTCACTCTTTCAGGGATGAAGATGTTCACATCCTGGACAGAGAGGAACAATGGTTTGAGAGAGGAGTAAAGGAGGCCATCTTTGTGAAAAGAAACCGTCCATCGTTAAACAGGGGTGGAGGCCTCCGAGTTCAACTGTCCCCCTCTTACAATGCTGTGATTGCTAGTATCACTCAGCCCTCTGTGAATAGTAAACAGCCATCAGTGTGCTAATGATCCATTGTTAGGCTGATGGTCCTTCTTGACCATGTGAGTAGCTGGTTTTGGTTGTCGGCAGCAAACTCGTTGATCCACTCTGAGAAGGTGCTATTTAAGAGACTGAGCTGAATACAGCACCTCAGACTGAGGAAGTCTCTCGGATGAGAGACGAAACGTTTCTATATTTTTTTTGCTTTGTTTTGTTTATTGTTTTTTTTTGAATGTCCAGAGGACCAGATTGAACTTTTTTGTACATTTAATTTCCTTTATTTAACCAGATCAAACCTATTCAGACGAAGATATTGTTTGCAAGAGGGACCTGGGCGAAAAGTCAACAACTCACACCAAAAAGGAGTTCCATAAGTCACAAATACACAATGAAAAGACAAAATTTGGACAGCAGAAACAATCATCAAAAGCAGAAAGTATAAGAAAAGCATTATTTAAAAATACTGACACTGATTTATAGATTTGCATTACTCATTAAGAAATGTCTGAAATAATTTAAAATAAACGACTTCAGAATAGAGATAGTTCCATGCTGTTGTTACAGGGCCACTGAATGCTTGTTTCTCTTTTTCTGTCAGAACTCAGGGAAAAAGCCATAGGAAAATGTTGGGGTGAAGGGTGTGGTAACTGTTTTTTTGTAAGAGAGAACTTAAGTAAGACAGAGCCTGGCCAAGCAGAGTCTTATAAAACAGTCATCCAGTGAATGTATGTCATTGTACACTCAGAGGAGGTCAGTCAGCTCTGGTCTACTGTTCACAGTGATGTGTGAGGTGCCTGCAGTTAGTTACAGCAGTTAAACATTGTTCAATGATTGGAGACATTTAGCCGAGGTCTTCATGAACAAAACATCATAATCAAAAAAAGGTTAGAAGGTTGCTGATACTTTTTTTTTTACTTTAAGTGAGAAAAGGATCAGTTGTGAAAATAGAACCCAAATTTCACCCTCAGTTTTTGGACCAAACTGGCAATATGTGCCTTAAAAGAGAGATCCTCTTTGACAGAAGAACATAGAAAGTCCTCACTAACATATCAACTTACCCCCTCCATTTTTGTAGCAGAGGTAAGGAAACCTCCACACGTTGCCGAGGCCAACAACATTTCCTGCTACAGCCAGGAGAAACTCCACCTTACTCCCCCAGTGTCCTCTCTCCTCCACCTCTGGATGCATCAGTTTTGGAGCACCTTCCTTACCCATTTAATCCAAACCTTCAGGCTGAACCCAGTTCTCTCTGTGGCCTCAATGCTTTGTCTCCAGTTTATTTATACCCACCACAGATTAATCATTGTCATTTAATGAGCAACTGTCTGTGCACTTGATCAGTTTTCTGTGGAAATATTTACTCCAGGATTTTGTGTCAAGACGTCCCAGATTCCAGGGGACATGACGACCCGTCCTCGGTTAAAGTCCCAGATTTTAGCGTTTTATGAATGAGAAATTATGTTGGGTGCAGTGTTGTCAGTAATGCATTACGAAGTAACCATTACAAAGTAACAAAGTTACAAAGTAATGCATTACTGACATTGGACCACTTTTTTCAGTAACTTGTCATCCAACGCGTTGCTATTTCAAAATACAGTAATCAGATTACAGTTACTTATACAAATTACTGTACATTACTATTTTTGTCATTTTCTCTAGTACTGTAATTTAATTTTATTTCCTCTATGCATCTTGGGGAGTGACAAAAAAAGTCTCGGGGAGTGACGTCAGGTCTACGCGACAATTCAGTCACGTTATCATCACCTGTGACACCTGACACCACGCCGCGACAAAAACATAAACAATGGAGCAAAGAGGAAGATACCCATTTTGTAGCTAGAAATACAGGAACTATTTTGAGTTTCTGTCAGCGAAGGATGACAATTTCAAGGTTCGTTGTTCCCTCTGTGCTGGCGAGAAAGCGCTGTCTAGCTTCAAAAACACCACATCAAATCTGAAAAAACATTTGGAGTCGCAGCATGGACAGTGAAACTGATGGAGTGGTTTGAAGCAGAGAGCTGGGACAGGAGGTCCCCCACCACCAAACAACAAAAACTTGCCTTCGGTGCAAAACCAGTAAGTGGGGGAGAGTTACAGTGCCTTGCCAAAGTATTTGGCTCCCTTGAACTTTTCAATCTTTTGCTACATTTCAGGCTTCAAACATAAAGATATAAAATTTTAATTTTTTTGTGAAGAATCAACAACAAGTGGGACACAATTGTGAAGTGGAATGAAATTTATTGGATGTGTCAAACTTTTTTAACAAATAAAAAACTGAAAAGTGGGGTGTGCAATATTATTCGGCCCCTTTACTTTCAGTGCAGCAAACTCACTCCAGAATTTCAGTGAGGATCTATGAATGATCCAATGTTGTCCCAAATGACTGATGATGATAAATAGAATCCACCTGTGTGTAATCAAGTCTCCGTATAAATGCACCTGCTCTGTGATAGTCACAGGGTTCTGTTCAAAGCGCAGAGAGCATCATGAAGACCAAGGAACACACCAGCCAGGTCCGAGATATTGTTGTGGAGAAGTTTAAAGCCAGATTTGGATACAAAAAGATTTCCCAAGCTTTAAACATCCCAAGGAGCACTGTGCAAGCAATCATATTGAAATGGAAGGAGTATCAGACCACTGCAAATCTACCAAGACCCGGCCGTCCCTCTAAACTTTCATGTCGAACAAGGAGAAGACTGATCAGAGATGCAGCCAAGAGGCCCATGATCACTCTGGATGAACTGCAGAGATCTACAGCTGAGGTGGGAGAGTCTGTCCATAGGAAAACAATCAGTTGTACACTGCACAAATCTGGCCTTTATGGAAGAGTGGGAAGAAGAAAGCCATTTCTCAAAGACATCCATAAAAAGTGTTGTTTAAAGTTTGCCACAAGCCACCTGGGAGACACACCAAACATGTGGAAGAAGGTGCTCTGGTCAGATGAAACCAAAATTGAACTGTTTGGCCACAATGCAAAACGATATGTTTGGCATAAAAGCAACACAGCTCATCACCCTGAACACACCATCCCCACTGTCAAACATGGTGGTGGCAGCATCATGGTTTGGGCCTGCTTTTCGTCAGCAGGGACAGGGAAGATGGTCAGAATCGATGGGAAGATGGATGGGGCCAAATACAGGACCATTCTGGAAGAAAACCTGTTTGAGTCTGCAAGAGACCTGAGACTGGGACAGAGATTTATCTTCCAACAAGACAATGATCCAAAACATAAAGCCAAATCTACAATTAAATCATAGGAGTTGCAACCAGAGCCCTGTAAAGAGAGAGTTGCGACACTCCCATAGACTCCCATAGAAAGAATGGAATGCGGAAGTCACGTGGGTCATGAAGCGGCAAAGAGTTCCAAACAGCAGCGGGTTCAGCATTGAACGTAGTTCATTCTCCGTGTTTTCCCGGTAAGTTGATGCAAATACGACACTTTTTTGCAATTGTGAAGCGTTATCTGACTGTTCTGTACCTCAATTTATCAACATTAATACTTCATGTCGCCAGTTTTAGTTAATGAAACGTGTTAAATTGCTAGTTGTGTTTTAACTGCAGCTGCTCTGCAACATGACGGTTTAAACGGGTCTGTTTCTAATTCAACGTTTTAAAATATCTATTACTGCTTACATTTTGAAAGGTGGTCTTTTTTAAATTTATGGTAATTCCAGTTACTGAACTCAACTAGAAAATATTTGGTCTTTTTTCCTGAGAGATTCATTCAACCTTTATTTCTACAGGTAAATCCCATTGAGCCTCGAGGACTCATTTACAAGAGAGACCTGATTTAACAAAGAATGATGACAACATGACAACAAGATTGACGTAATTTAGTTAAAGTTATAGATCATTTGTCAAAGACTGCAGCATAAATTGTGACATTATCATTAAAGAAAAACGTGATTGTGGAGATGAGTCAATTTTTTCATGTTTTCCAGGTAAACCAGAGGAGAATGACTTCATGAACTGAATGTTGCATTCAAAGTATCACAAAGGTACAAGATCTAATTTTCTGTCTTCTATTAATCAATAACAGCTTAATCAAGATGTTTGAATAAAATTACTTTAACACCATAACCTTCACAAAGTTGGTATTTACTGCAGGACTGTTCATTTACATTAGTTTTATATTATTAATTTAGCGTTTGGTAATCATGGGTCAAGTTGAGATGAGACTCTTTCAAGACAGAACAAGAAATAAGAATTATTACAAGAATATATCAGCATCAATAAACTGTAGGACAGTAACAAAACACTTATTAAACTATCACAGGTACATTGAGATGGAGCTGGAAGTTATTCTTCATGCCAGTTGTCTTCATCTGATCTTTTGTAAAAATATGTCAATTTATTTTCCATTAACATTTTTCTTCACAGGACTGAGTTAATTTTCTTGTCTGTGAGTTTCTTCTGTCCTGCTTATGTATTTTTGTGTTCTAATTCTTCCCTCAGGTTTTTCTTCTCTGTTCCCTGACTGCCTGTTGCTCCATCCTCCTGGTCCTGTTGATCCATACTCCTGGTCCTGTTGATCCATCCTCCTGGTCCTGTTGATCCATCCTGGCCCTGTTGATCCTGGATCATCAGATCCTGACATGTCCCCGTCCTCTGAGGACACATTTTCATCTGTCCCTCATCTCACTCGCCTC